ACAGTATTTAACACTATTGAAATGCATACTTTAAAATGCTTAAGATGACAAATTTGTCTTGTGCTATTTGGATTTTTATTTGCAAACTTCATTTCATAATTAAAAATAAATAAATACCTAAATTACACTATCCTATCTAAATGTGATTTGGTCCTACTAGCTTGAAAACTTACAAAATCAACCTCAGCTTATACTACAACCAAGCTGAACCTTTTCTCTAGGTATAAAAATGAGCCAAAAGCCTATAGCTACAGTAATAGGGGTTTAGATGTGTCTCATAAGAATGCTTACAAGATGTAAAAGAGAAAAACTATTGGTTATTTATGCATCTATTGTTAAAAAGCTGTAAATTTCTGTCTATTTCCTGTAGACTCTTAAGTGCCACATTAAATCACATTATTTAAAGCTAACAGATACCTTCAGAATTATGTGATATGAAGGCTTAAAAAGAGAGAGTACATTTTTCCCCCTTATAGATGATTTTAAAATCCTTACAAGAGCATTTATTATATTCCCATTTGCCACCACGGGGTCTCATCAGTCTTGAAGTGTTTTTTTTTTTCAATTTTCTTTATGCCCATTTCCTTTGGCAATATCTTACTTTTCCGTTTTAAATTTCAACTTAAATATTAAAACAGATGCAAAGAAGAGTGCTACTTACACATAAACTCTTGAACTGCATTTTTATCATTTGCTCTGTGGAAAAAAAACCCAATTGTATGAAATTGATAACAACATTTTAGTATATCCTCAGGTCCTGAGGGAAAAGCAATGTGCTTAGACAGATGATCTGATTTTATGAGCACATAGCTAAAGTCTAGCACTGTGCATTTGTCTTCATGCTCCTACTTTTTCCAAGGACTCTGAAAACACATTAGCACCAGTTTCACTTTCCAACAATGGCCTGCAAAGCTTATGACAATGCATAGCATTTATATTGCTGCTTCTCAGGATGCACATCAAAGTATAGATCGCTTTCAGCATAGACTCTTAATCTGAGCTTGTTAATAAGAAAACAAGAACCTCAGTATGTGAATTTATTTTATTATCTACTCTTATTGAGGACTGTGATTTGGATTCCACTTAAACATCAATTAATTTAACTGTTGCTCTTCTGTGATTGTTGAATTTATTCATTAAACTGTAGTATTTTACTTATGAAACTATATTTGGAAATCCTTTGGTGTAAACCAGATGAAATTACAGTGCTCAAGGATATTGATTATTGCTTGTAATTGTCATCATGATAGCCAACAATTCGCTGTCTTTCTTTGTCTTTCTTCTACTTCTTAATGATATACCAAAGAAAATCAATATCCAACATACTGAGCTACTTACGTTGTCTCAAAATTCAATTGTTCTCCTTCATAAATATGCAAAGGATTGAAGTGTTTTGTCTCTAAATATTAAGTAAAACGGCCCCATACTCCTGCATTCTTCCTTCTCCCATAGGAACATAGCACAGTGAAGGTCCCAAGTAATCACACAGTGGAGGTGAAACGGCAGGAAGGCTACTCCACTCTGCTGCTCATAGACCACTATATTTCTTGCTCAATAGTAAATTCGATGGCCATGGAGGAAAACTCCAGACGGGAGAGGTCATCAGACGTTAAAGAAGAAATCTGCCTCTTTTGCAGCATGGAAATTATTTCAAAGCCTTAAAGAAGAAGCATGCTAACAAGAAAATAGCACAACACTATGAGTCACTAAACCAATGAATCATGTTTTCTCTTACTACTATTTATATACCATGTCTCCATCTTTGAGAAACAACATCTTAGGTTTTCATTAACAAAGGGTTTCTTTCTGAGTAATTTTTGCCTATTCATTCAAAATAGTGAAGCCGGTCTTTAAATGTTGCTGTAAGAACATTATAACATGTGAAAGAAGGCTGGAGAGATTGCTCAGTGGATGAAATACTTGCCCTGCAAGCATGAGGACCAGAATTTACATTCCCTGAACCCACAAAAAAAGCCAGGCAGTAGTGACACTGACCTGCAATTCCAATACTCTGGAGGCAGAAACAGGGGATCTCTAGGGCAAGTTTACTAGATAGGCGAGGTGGTTTCTGCAAGCTCTTCATTCACTGGGAGACCCTATCTCAATAAAAATAAAGTGTAGAGTAATTGAGGAAGACATCTAACATGAACCGTGTGCTGCTTCTATACTTAACAGGCCTAGATTAAAAATCTTCATAACCCTACTATATTGGCCTGTGGTATATTTTCTGATAGAAATAGCTCTGCAGCTGATATGGCTGGGTTTGAAAAATCATCTTCACCAATTACCAGTAGTGGGACCATGGACAAGTTTCCTCACCTCTTTGTGTTTTTGTTTTCTCACCTGTAAAATGGACAAAAAGGTTGTAGTAAGTATGTTATGAAGATTAAATGATGTAACATTTTACAAAGTAAAAAAGTGCATGGCCTAACTTATCATTCAGATGTTATGACTTATTAGTATTATAATAATTGTTATCGGAATTCTACTTTTACTAAAACTTTTTAAAGAGAAAAATAGGAGTATCAACCTCACACATCCAGATAAAATTAATGCATATACATAACTAAACTAACTTGGCACCTGACCCTGATAAATAGGGAAAAGACTAAAAAATTCACTGGATATCAACCTTTCTTATTTATGAAACTGATGTAACATCAAGATTAAAACATTTATAAAATACTCCTATAATCTAAACACAACACAAATTATTGTTTTCCATGAACATTATGCTTTTTTCTTTGAAAAATTATATCATCTTACCCATATTTTAAAGTCTGCCTTCTTTCTCTTGGTGATTTGTATAAATACTTTTCCTAGTGAATAGATATTTCCTACAGCACAATTTGTAATGATTCTATATTATGTGTTTAAAATAATTTAATGAAACTCCAATCATTAGGGATGTGGACCAATTATTTTTTGCTATTACAAATAGCATTGCAATGGACAATTACATACATAAAATTGTCATAAACATCACTTCCTGAGGAAAACCTCCTACAAACACAATTATTATGTAAACAAATATCTGTACTTTAGTCTTTTGGTACAATTATGTATGTACATTTGTGTATGTACATTAGCCAAATTGCCCTCCAGAAAGACATGGGAATTTCAGTTCTATTCAGTAACTCAGCCCTTTAGAAAAATTTTAACCTTCATGATACTAGAGCAAAATTCTCTATTGTTGGTATTTTTCACCAATCAACATGTGGAATTGTTGAAATTCTTTTATTTAAATGAATATGCTTCTGTTCCTTTAAATATTGAAGGTGGAAATAAATCTTATGCATTTGGGCATGTGTTGCAAGGTGATGTTGACTTTTCAGTTACTGAAAGAGAGGTTTTGAATTGTGCATTAAAATACAGCACTAAAATGTGCTTTGTTTAGCAGTGCATTTTACTGCATATCGAGGGCACAGTAGAGTGGTTAAGATTCAGGAGTTTGAAGTCTGAGTGACCTGTGTGCTGATTCTAGCTCTATCACTCACTTGCCAGGTAAATGTGACCAAGTTGTTTAACCTGTTTTGGCTTCCTCTTTCTTAAAAGCACAATGAGGAAAATAGCATAGCCTATTTTACATGAAAGAAGGAATTGTATAATGAGTATTCAATGAGTATTCAGCAGAACACATGGCACTAGGACACAAGGATAAAGTATATGGACAAAATCGACATATTTGTTTTACAAATATTCACATATTTGTGAATATATCACTATTGCTTATGAAAGGTCATTTACAATAGTAATGAGCGACCTGTGATCATCCTGTAGGAAAGCAAACATAAGGATATCATGACTCCATTTGTATGAAGTTCTATAGCAGGCATAATGAATGAATGGTGAGAAGGTGCAGAATATCATTTGTCTCTGGGAATGGAAATAGAAATCTACTTAGGGAAAATAAAAGGGAATTCCTGGAGTGATGGGACTGTTATACCTCTTGACAGGGATTTGGGTTTCACAGTGATTGCATTTATCAAATCTCAAGCAAAGGTATACATTTAAAGTATGTGCTTTCCACGTGTAACTTTTATACTGAAAACAAATAATAAAATATTTACTCCAGATAATAATATTGGAAGCCAAAATATTTGAAGGGAACTATATTGTTCTTCCCTTTTACATTGATTCCACATATTTCAAAAAGCTTAACAATTCATATGAATTTTTGGATAGAGGGAGAAATGAAGAAATGGATTGAACATGATAGAACGGGTATAGTCAATTATGAACTGTAGAATCTAGTTGGTTATCAAATGGGTAAAAGTTAGGTCAATTAGCCCATATGTTTGATAATTTTTAAATTAAATTTGAATGAATATATGGCAGTGAAATCTGGTGTTTAAAGTTTGATAGTGAAGAAAACCTCAAACACTTGTGTCTATGCAAAGGAGGGAGATAGGGAGATGATGTTACCTCTACGTATATGAAAATTTTTTATAACCCTTCCAGTTCCCCTGAGATTATCCATAGCATATTTGAAATTGGTAGAGTTTTTGGTTTTTGTAGCAATGTGATTTGATATTTGCAGTGAAACTTTTGTTTTTCCTTCCTCAGGCATTTCCTGTTCAAACATGGATCTGGTTCCTCTGCTATTTTCAGTGCAGCCAGTCAGAACTACCCTCTGACATCAAATACTGTGTACTCACCACCTCCCAGGCCGCTGCCTCGAAGCACCTTTTCCCGACCTGCCTTCACTTTTAACAAACCTTATAGATGTTGCAATTGGAAGTGCACAGCCTTGAGCGCCACTGCAATCACAGTAACTTTGGCCTTGTTACTAGCCTATGTGATTGGTAAGTCCCTTATTCCCTGTCTGTTTCCTTTTTATTCTAAATTTTGTTTTGTTTCAAGAAGGAGGGGTTTCCCACTCAACTCTGGTATGCACAAATTTGGACCAATCCTTAGTATTATGATAACAAACAGGTTTCTAGTTCTTTTTTTTCTTCCTAACCTTAAATACTGCTGTTAGAAAGTAAGGAATGCTCTTTGAGAAGAAATATTTATACTAACACAGTCTTATTGATTGCAATTACTGTAGTTAAGCATTTTCCTTTCAATTAAAAGGTTGTTATGGTTTTCTCATTAGAAGTCATAAGTACTAATGTACAATAGCTTCTTAAATTACAGTTACACAGTAATACTGCTACTGAATTCTCAGGTAGCAATTTCATTAAGGCAATACTTATTTGGGAGGTATCTGAAAATTCACTGCACAGTTTCTTTCCACGGATTCACAGAAACCAAAAAGTATAACCTTACACTCACTAGAAATTGAAATTTCTGTGGCTCTTGAGTTTGAGAAGGTATCACTCTGATTAAAGTCACCCTCATTTAATAGAAATTTTTATTGATTTTTCTGGATGGCATTTTATTTTGACTGAATATTAATTTCCTTGCTTGAGTGGTTCTGACAGTCTAAAATGTAAGTTACTTTAAGAAATATGTGTTGTTTGAAAGCCTTATTCCTCGAATGAATAGAGTATCCTGATAGGAAAAACAATCTATTCAGATGTCGCTAGCAACAGGTTTAGCCTGGCATTCCATTTCTTAATTGAAGGAGCATTACACTCTAAGACATAACAAATATGATTCTGAGAAGAAGATAAAGTAGAAAACAGATTTAGCTTTCTCACACTTGTAAATAATTATGTTTGTTTCATTCCTCTTCATCTAAAGTGTTAACAGTAACAGTCTTTACATAACCAGCTACTGTAGGAATCATCAAACAGGAGGAGATAAGTAAAAAAACAGATAGGCTTTGCAGAGATGTTCCTGAGTTGCTAGAAACAAAGGGTCATGGCTTCTGCTAATGTCCATGGTACTTGCTTGGATGTTTCTATGAAGCAGTCCCTATATATAACACCACCACCTCTGGTAAACATAGATGATATCATCCTGTGTTAAAAATACATTTTTTATCTTGGGCTTTGCAGGATAAACCAGCAAGTACATTTATTTGATTTATAATAACTTGTAATGAGAAGTATTTCTGAAGGTTTAGGGCTGTGGGATGAAGAAAAACTGTATTTCCAAAGTAATTTTAATATGTAGTCATTCAAAATAAGAAAGAAGGGCCAGCAAGGTGATCAGTCTGTAAAACGGCTTGCTTGCTACTACTCATAAACCTTAGTTCAGTCCCGGGGAACCATATGATGGAAAGAGAGAACTGACTTCCACAAGGTGTCCTCTGACCTCCATACACACATATCATGGCATGAGTGTTACATCTCCCCAAAATAAATAAATAAAAACAAAAACTAATAAAACAGCAACAATAAGTAGTCTAAGATGTTTCAATGCATTAAAGACCCTTCAAAATGCTCTTGTACAATTATGAGATCAATTTGGTGTATTACTGGTTAGTTTCTGTTTAATTTACTATATAGAAACATTTTAAATATAAGATTTAATCCTTAGTACAAATAAATCCAGGTAATCTGAGACTGTGTATTAATAAAAACTTATAGTCTGTTGAGAACTTACTTTTTAAATAACATTTTTATTGATTCCTTGAAATTTTTCATACAATGGATTTTGAACACATGCAGATCTCTGCCCCCATGCGCTCTCAGATCCACCCCCCAAAAGCTTTCTCCATCACTTCATGTCCTCTATTATTTTTTTAAAGCCTATAGAGTACAATTTGTGGCCCTTGAATGCTCTTGGGTGTATGCGGGTCCATCCTCTGGAGCTTGTTCAGCCTAAGTGCCATCACACCCTTAAAAAAAAGAATCTCTCTCTCCCAGAAGCTATCAATTGCCAATGGTACCTCAACTAGGATTTGTTTTCTGGTCCACCTCCCCCTCCATGTTGGGTTATTGTCTGGCTTGGGTTTGTGTGTACTGTTGCAAGTGCTGTGGATTCATAGGGGCAACTGCCTTGTTGTGGCTAGAAAGCACTAATTCCTTGTACTCATTTACCACCTATGACTTTTACAGTCTTTCTTCCCCTTGTTCTACAATGATCCCTGAGACTTTGGAGGAAAGACTGTGATATAGGTGTCCCATTTAGGGCAGAGCCTTCTGCAGTCTCTTATTTCTGCATTTGGACCAGTTGTGGGTTTCTGTGTTAATTACCATCCGCTGCAAGAAGCTTTTCTGGTGACAGTTGAGAGGGGAATTAATCTATGGGTAAACAATAAGTCATTATGAGTCAGTTAAATACTTTATCTAATAAGCAGAATAATAGTATTAGGCTCTCCCTTATGGCCTTATATCTTCCAAGCCTCAGGTTCCTAGGCTTGATCTCAATGTCAGATATGGGGCTCCATCTTATGAAGTGGATCCTAAATCCAATTAGAAAGTGGTTTATTACTCCCATAATATTTATGCCATTGTTACACTGGTGGGCATTTCTTGCCAGGCCAATTGTAGTTTACAGGACTCACAGCTGGGTGAGGTTGATGATTAATTTGCTCTTCAGGTAGCATGCATAGCATCTTCCATCATGAAATCTAGCCAGTAACATGTTGTTTTTATTACTATAGCTCTGCAGTGTAATTTAAAATCAAGAATGGTGATACCTCCAATCTTTTAATATTCATAACTGTTCTTAATATCCTGGGGATTTTTTGTTTCCATATGAAATTTGATATTATTTCTTCAATTTCTGTGAAGAATTATGCTGGAGATTAAATTGTGATTGATTTGAATCTCTTAATTGCTTTTAGTAGTTTGTCCTCAGTAGATTTCTCAGAAGTTTGAACAATGAAAATGTCTATTTTCACAATATTGATTCTACCAATTCATGAGAATGGGAGGTCTTTATATCTTCTGATATCGCCTTTAATCTCTTTCTTACTTAAATGTATTACACTAGTAAGTCTTATGTCAGAAGTTATATAATCTGAGAATTGTGTAATTAAATTTTTAATTTTGTAAATGAAAGCACAATTTTTAATCTTTTTAAGGATATCTCTTTGAATAGGAAAATTAGAATATCAGTTCGGAATGAAATTTAGGCATTGTACTACAACAGTTATGAGCATAGATATTTAAACTCATACTACTTACCAGGCATACTATCTAGAGTGAATCACTTAACATGTTTAGATCTCTACTTACTCATCTGCAAAATGAGCTTAAAACAGCACCTGTAACAGGATTAAAATGAGAAATAAATGAATTAATATAATCAAAGTACTAGAAATAAGGTGTAAATATAGGAAGTAGTTTATAATGGTTAAATATTAATATTCTATTTTTTGTTTACTATTGCTATATACTAGTTGTAATAATTAATCATGTTATTCTTGTTCTTTTACTATTAATGACAGATCTGGGACATAGCAGCAAAAGGTTGTTGAAAAACTGAACTATGCTAAGTACTTTACTTGTGTTAGTGCATTTAGTTCTGAGAATCATCCTTAAGGGTAGGTATCTTTACTGTGAGGAAATTTAGGAACACTAAATATGAGCAGCCACAGAACTAAGTTCAGAACTTTAAGGCAGAGCAGACAAATTCCGGAGGATATGCTTTTTATGCCTTCCCACTTTTCTAGTAGTCTGGTAAACTTTGCTTTGTGTTCTCACTAAATAAATCCACCTGACTTTTTCCATATTCAATTAACTGTACCAGGTCATCCATTGCAATGATAAGTGCAACACAGTAGTTTTATTGGTGAGAGAGGTACCTTTTGAAATTATATACTATGAGATCTTATAAAAACAATTTTTTCAACTAAAATTCAAACCCAGCAGGTAGAATGGGTTCAACAGGAGAGGATTTTTACAGTGAGCAGTACAACTTTCTTCCTTGTACCTTCATGTTCAGGGTATTATGTGCCTTTAGATAAATCAGTAAAAACCTCATTCTGGAGCAAGATATTATAGATCACTGGTAGAGTGTTTGCCTAGCATGCATAAGACCTTAGGTTCAAAACAAAGGATTTATCTCATCACTGCCATATTGCTGACCACCTCAGGAGAGTAGAGTAAGAATTCATAAACACCCATTCAGGTGAAAGATGCCACATAAGAACTGTATTATATGAGATGATGTTTAAATGGCTTTCGGGGGTTGAAATAAAAAAGTATTATATTTCAAAATATGAAGCCGTTTCACCCTCGACTCTTGTTACGTCTGTAAGAGTCATCATTTTTTTTCAATCTCTTTTGCATTTGCCATATAACTCAAGTAAAAATTTTTCACTGAAACTATTTACCGCTTCTGTTTCCTGTGCAAATCCCTTTCTGCCATCTCATTTTCCTCTATTATCCATCATACATAACCTTTACATACTAATGACTATAAGTGAGGTTGTCCTCAATCCACTAGGAAAAATCACATAAATATCAATGGGACATCAATAGGTGTTCTGTGCATAATGCCTCTGTAAGCAGTCATTGGAAAGCAATGGAAAACCAGAGCTGATGTGTTCAGTCAAGCAACCCTCGCCTCACATCTACCCACTATACCTTTCAGGCCAGAAAGAAAATAATTCCCTGAGTCAGTTTTGAGTTCATAAAATTTGGTAAATAGAGGCATGGAGAGATACGGATTATATGGAGATATCGGGGAACGGCTATTGTCATGACTTCCTCATAAATCTGTAATATTTTCCATCTGAAAATATTTTCTATGCTTCATCCTCTCTGATATGTTGGCATCAGCAATATATCAGTGCCAGTTAGAAGCACATTTGCTTGAATTTACAAATAAGCCATATGAAGTAGTAGTCAAGAAGACAGATGACCATATGCAAGGCATCAAGAGAAGGCGAGGTTAAGGTACTTCATCAATGGTTTGAAGGGCACAAACACAGCTTCTCTGCAATCTTTGATGTTTTGATCAA